TCCATTTATCAAATCACACCCCATTCCTATTTGTCCTTAGTCTCCATTATCAACTCAAACATAAATACATAAACAAATAACGTGCATCCAACAAAGCAAACATATCTTAGATTCCCAAAATCAAGCAGTAGTGAAGCAAGCAGTGATTCATGCATTTAAAAACATAGAATAGATAAACCCGATATCATAATGTATTTAAACTGTAAAATAAATCAAATAGAAATTGACAGAGAAATATGTCTGGTTCGAGCTCCATTAGTAACCATAATTAATTATGCATATCTATTTAATTTGTACAAAATACAGTATTATCATTTATTCAAACTTCAATTCCATGATAGGAAATAAGATGATTGGTCCTTACCTGATTTGACGCCAAAAACTAGATTTTTACTGCGCATACGGGTAGTGCCTGGGTTCCTTGAATTTTTTTTTTCTCGGGAACTAAAATGCGCTTACGGACCTACACATGTCCCAAATAACCCAAAAATTAGATCCAAGGCCTATTCGGCCAATTTCAGAATTCCGGCACGACAGCTCCGCCGTGCTCCGGCGACGGCACCGCCGCTTGCAGCCATGATCCGCCTCGGGTTGGCTGTTTTCAGCCTTTTTCAGTTGAATTCAGCCAAACTTGCATCAGTTCCTGTGAGAAAACACCCTTAGGACCCTCGGTGGGCCGAGAAAACAAAAAAAAAAAACTGAAACTTACCGGCGGTGGGCTCTCCAGTGCGGCGGCTCCTCCGACTCACGTCGCGTTTTGGTATTTTGCTCCGATCAACCTGTAGAGGAGGAAACGGTGATCATAAAGGTGGAAAAATCACGTCAAACGGGAATCGAAAATGGCCTCATCAGAGGCAAAAATTGAGACACCCCGCGGCAGCGCCGTTGGGCTTCAGCGGCGTTTTCCGGCCAATTGGCCGGTGCTTTCGCTCCAATTTGGTCATAGGTGGGTTTAAAATCGAATTCTGAGAAAATGATAGAATTTTTACCGAAATTTGCTCCGGCGCGGCGGCGGTGGGCGGCGATCGGCTCCCCGGCGGCTGGGCTGTCTTCTCCGGCGAGGGACTCTGGCGGCTAGGGTTTGGGTTTGGGTGCGGATGAGATTATTTATAACTATCCGCTTTTGATCTGAGCCATCAATCGCATTTAATTTGGATTGTTTGATCGCGATTAAATAGGAAATGAATCTGGACCGTTCATCGCGATTCAATCTGGATCGTCCGTGCGCTATTAAATCTAGACCGTTCGAGCGCGATGCAATCTGGGCCGTCCGTGCGTGCGGAAACGGATCTCAGCCGTTCGATCGTCCATGTGGCTTCCTTCCGCGTGGCATCCCGCATGGCGCTTCCTGATTGGCCGGGGCTGCTGATCGAGCAGCTGACGTAGTGCAATTTTTTTAAATTGTATTTTAACCCCCGATTTTCAATTTTTCTTTCAAAAATACCCCCAGAACCCAAATTTTTACCATTTTTTTTCAAAATTGTTTTCAATTAAATGTCTAAATAATTTTTACCCTTTTTTATTATTATTATTATTATTTCTATTTGAATAAATTAAAATTAAATTAACATAAAATAAAATAATAATGAAATTAAAAGAAAAAATTTTCTTGGGTGTTACAGAAAAAGTTTTCATGAAACAAACCAGATTCCACAATAATTTAATGTAAAGAAATCGTGTTATGAAATTGCAAACCCAGTTCAAAGAATTATGTTATTATGCCGGATAATATATAGCAAATCAAACAAAGAAGAGATTATATATGAAAGAAAACCAAGAAGAAAACAAGAACGAATCTGGAAGGAAAAAGAGAGACCTGATTTGTAAGTTGGGTATGCGAATTCGTGTGAAAATTCTAGAGGAAGAAGGAGTACAGTGCAATAGCTGACTTTATACAAGCTTGGAGGCAAAACTGCCTAATGGACTTCGTTATGGATTTGGCTTCTGGCGGTTCTCATGCCGCAGGGAAGCAGCATGTTCGCTTGGGTGCTGGTTGATTCTGACATTTTATTTAGAATGCATTAGTACTGGAATTTTCATCCTTCTGTAACTCTACTTGTTCTCCAGGCTGGAAACGTACTACTTGATTCAGAAGGTGCGGTTAAACTAGGAGCATGCATGTTTGATAACGGAGATGGACTGCGTGCAAGAATACATTTGCTGGAACTCCCTGCTGTTACATACTTCACCTTACCATTGAATTTTTCATGTCTCCTTCTGATCTGTTTGTCTCTGATTTAAACCTTAGTTGTTATATCATTCTCTCTCTCCCTCTCTCTGTGCCAACAAAAAATTTTTGCTTTTAATTTATTGTTTACCGGTTTGAACAGGATGGCTCCTCAAGTCATGCAGCAACTAAATGAATATGACTTCAAGTGAGTTTGTTCGCTCTAGGTTCCGCCTTTCTGGGTAGGGAGTGTGTCTACTTGTTTTTCCTCTGGTGAATTAGTTAGTGGGTGAAGCTGAAGGACTGAGTATTTGCTAATTGTATCAGATGGTGAAGTCAGCTTTACTCAAATCAGTGAGGTTAATTCTGTAAATGACTATCCTAACCTTTGTTCTCGGCAACAGAGCGGCCATCTAGTCATTTGGCGTAACTGCTCTAGAGCTAGCTCATGGTCGTGCTCCATTTCCAAGTATTCCACCAATCATGCGATTTTGGTATTAAATGGAAGAAGACTGCGAAGCTGAAGTTGTAAAATAGTTAGATATCAGAGATTCAGAGTTGAGAGAAGGTTAAGAGAATCAGCAGAGAGGACAACGAGGGATAGGGTGACTCGATATAGATATGGAGGAGATGGATAATATGCTAATGAGCTGTTTTGTGCTTCCTATTAATGAGGTATCAGTATGGTTTCTGGTTATCCCTCTAAATTTGTGGCATTTTCAGTCCCATAGATTTTGACTGCGAATGAGTTTATGGAGAGAGAGATGAGGTGTGGGAGAGACTGGGTAGAAGAGGCGGACAGAATAAGGAAAGAAACAAAAAAAAAAAATAATAAAAGAAATAGTTAGAAAGGAGTTGATAATTTTGATTTATATTTCATAAAAACTTTTAGGTTGAAGTTAATGTGATTACGTGTATATCGTAGCATTATCAATACAATGATATTGTACAAATGGTGACACTAATATAGAAATATAAAGATAATTTCTTTTATATATTGTCTTAATTTTATACTAGACCAGTTGATCTTTTTCATTTATTACTGATTTGATATATTTATCAAATTAGACCCCTGAAGTGTTCGATTTGGAAGGGAAAGGTTGAATTGATTAATTTTATTATAACAATTACAAAATCTGTAAATTTTAAGTTATTTATTCGTACAAGTAACAAAAGAGCAGAGAAGAAAACTATATCGATGAACACGAACCGGATAAAGTCTAAAATATAAGAAAATAATTAAAGAATATATTTTGTCCTATTTTATTGAAAATTATTAAATCATAAAACGGAAAAAGGAAAAAATAGTTACTAATAATAAAAGTAGGAAAATATTTTAGAAAAAGGGAAAAGTTTCGTCAATTGAGATGTGTGGCTAAAAATTAATAATAAATATTTTAGAAAAAGTGTAGAAAACTTGATAAATTATAAGTGCACGGACATGGCTTTCTACAATTTCCATGGAGTCACAGATTTAATGAATACTGAGAGTTTGAAACCCACAATACTTCACAGGATAAAGTATTTTATAACTTAAAGAACACTATAATAATTATTTAATTTGATAAAAATGAAGTGATTGTTCTATTTTATTAAAAATAATAATTTTAAACTAATGAGCTCTTCCTACATCTTTTTGAAAAGAAAAATAAAAAAGCAAAAAGGAAATAAGATTTAAGTATTAACTAGATTTTTCCTTGAAAAAATTATCAAGTAGCAGTTGAAATGAAAATTAGTTGACTAAAAACTGTGTTGACTCTTTATAAACTTAAATACTTATACTCAAAACTTTGAGCTAATATGATGTATGCACTTCAAAGGGAGGGAAGCAGTTTTCCATGTTGGTATGACCAAACATAAAAAGATTTGACGGTGACGTAAACGAAAAAGTAGAGAGACACCAGAAATCAACTGTAGCCCTCGAACTACGCCGGGACAAGATATAGAAAGTAAGCAGTCTCGTTCATTAAAAAACATATAATATACCGTGTGGTTGCAGTTTGTAACATTGCAGCAAGATCCATCAATACCATCCTACTCGCGCAGGAGAATAGGAATATGTATAAATTGAGAGAGAGAGAGAGAAAGAAAGAGAGAGAGAGAGATTTGATAATGATGGCGAACTAATTAACATAAACCCTCTTAATGCATAATCAGAATGTGTTAGATACATATCAAATGGTGAATTCCACAGTGCAAATAAAAAAAGTTAATTCCGAGAAATATGGTATCTCAATTTGCAGTTTAAAGACCGCTTGCATCATTGAAGGTAGAAAAACAATTTACCTCGTAAGGAACTTAAATAGCCTACGGACTCTTAAGCCTCGACAAAGCACCGAACTGTCTCTTAAGCTGTAAAACGTGAGCACATACCTTATTAAATTTTCGATCCAGAGGTTCAAAACCACAACTTTCAAACATTTTATCTCTTCCTTACCATGTTTGAAAGAAATGGACTCATTAATAAATTAATATTTTTATATCTAAAATCTGACTAGTAATTGTACTTGCAAATGAGTTCTTTATCCTTCTGTAAGATTTAATTGTTTCAAACACATAAATTTAAGTATGATTTTACTAGCAATCCAAATATGCATCTAACAATTCCTCATCTACGAAACCATTTTCCCTCAAACAATAGTTCTACCTGAGCGTTTGCTGTCTTCTGCCTCTGCAACTCGTCTGTAAGTTTCCCCACACTGAAGTGCAACACACATAACAACTATAAGCAAGATATATCAAACAGATCATGCATATTGCCTAAGGACAGGTTCTCTCTCTTACCTTTGTTGCAAATAGATCAACTGTGCTTGTAAATCTCTCTCCCTCAAATATACCTGCAGCTTATTTGACGTCTAATAAGTATTTATTTGTTACATTAAGCACCATATGTAATAGGACAAATATTTTACAAGAGGCTCAGAAACCTTAATGCAGATTTGCCCTCGATCCATCATCTTTTCATTCTTGAAGCAATTAATTTAAGGTTCTTTCCATTAATTTTACTTTTTGTGATAAGTGGTCAAAGCTCATAAGTCTGATTCATTCTCTCTGCTCTTTCCCTTGGTCATAGGGGAATAAATTATGCTATATTTGCTAAAATTTTGGGGTAATTAATTATTCAACACCCATAATTTGAAGCCAACTAAACTTCTCTTTTTTTTTTGTCCACAGTGTAAACAATTTGCAGTCAGGTTGAGAAGGCAGTTAACTATCATCTTAAAAGAAAAGGCAAATATCTTACTGTCTGCATCTATACCTGTAAGCGTTCAGCATCCGCACCTACCTTTGTAAAATCGTTATGACCACCTTCTCTCACAAAAATGGAAGAAAAACAAGACGGTATTAGCAAAAGATAACTAATTATAATAGAAACAGAAACTATTGGTGCAAATAAAAGAAAATCAATTACTCAGGAATGTATACCAGTGGCTTGATCTACATATCTAATCAATCTTGTCAGTTGTTCCTGCCAGAGTGACAAAGAATGATTAACTTTTCAGTGCCTAAACTATTCAGCAGAAAAAGAAAAAAAAAAGGTGTGGATTAACACATTCTGCATTGCAGTTTGCTGCACAAGAGACTGCAATGAAGGAAGGAGTGAGGCACATGCACTAGATACTGAATTTACGGGTTGTCCTGAAGGTTGGTTGACTAAAGCATTTGAAGTATCCTGGAGGGAAAACATCATAAACCACAGTCAAGAAACCATGACAACAACATAGAAGACAAGTTCTTCATACATTTAGCAATCTCAAACCCTTTTTCTATAAATAAGACAAGCGATCACTTAATATAGTGAATTACAGATAAAATCCAACTTCTGGACAGAATATAGAAATCTGAATCTATCCAGAATGAACTGCAGGTTGCTAACCGAGTTGACTCTATTTCTTCCTGGGCTTCCATCAATTGAGAAAAAGTCCACTGGTTCTTCAGAATTTAAGCTGCTAGGAACTTTCTGATCACCGATATCATCAAAACGAACATCAACTTGATCTCTGCTGGAAATGATTGAATGCATAAATTAAAAAAAAGAAATTGAAGAAAATTAGGTGTGGGGGCTAGTTGATAGTCAATGCACATAATATGTATGCTACCAAAACGACCACAAATACTGATGCACAAAAAGCCAAAGAATAACAGTAGACAGTATCTTATATTTTTAGTCTAACAACCAAAAACAAAGGCACAGCCTATCCATACTCAAGAGCTTGAAGAAAATGGATAGCATTTGGAGCTGGTAAGCATTCCTGAAACTGATTATTAGGCCCATTAGTGACATCCTGTAACAGTTAAAGTTAGACATCAAACAGGAAGCATGTAGGAACTGGAAATACTAAAGTACCGGCGTGGTATGCATACCTCCTGAGAAGATACAGACTTCAGAGCTTTGAAACTAGAAGACCTTTCCATCAATAGATGCTCAGATGAAACATTTAGATTGGCCGACCCATATGTAGCCTTTCCATTCAAATCTTGATCTTCTACATTGGAAATATCATCATCCTGAATCTAAAGATAAAGCAGATTATTGTAATCGATGTCACTGAGTTAATCTACAAATTAAACTTCTGAATTGGAAATATTATCATCCAGAATTTAAAGATTAAGCAAATTATTGTAATGAATATCACTGAGTTTATTTACAAGTCAAACACCACATAGCCTTTCAATCTTTTCATGCTAACACCACATCCACATATGGACAGGAAGGAACAGCATATATATAGAATTAAGATAGATGCAAGGCTACTTACAAGGGCAGCCTGCTTCCTCATTTCATCAAGATCAAAATTCCATGCACTGATTCCTCGCATATACTCTTGCTGCAAAGTGACAGGATATTCAATTCCATCTCAGTTAATATAATTGTAGCATTCTCCCTAACAGCAGATTTTAGAAACAGAATAAAGAGAAATTACGTATACAATGATGAATTTTTTATACTGACATATATAATAATGATTACAATGACAGTGATGATCACAATGACAGAACCGGTTATGACAGTCTGGAATCATAAAGTAAGCATGATTTCACGACTCATAACCAATTCCTACACAACACCTAGGTCAAAACAAAGAACACCAAGGCAAGCTAACTAATGCAAAGAGGAAATAGCCTCAACTGGAACTTAGGATGGATGGATACTGTTCTTTCCAATGTAATACTGCCATCATAAAAGGCAAGCCAACTTTGAGAATGCCGTAATATTACAGAATCTTATTCAAGACATATCACCACTTTGAAAATCTTGGTAAGCTTTTAGTGCCAAGGCAGATAATTTCATACCAAACTGTCTGCCATATAAAATGGAGTGAAGTTTCCTACTTTGATAACCTTATTAGTGGAAAGAGAACTGCTATTTCTTTTTTACCTGTGACAAGTGCTCTTTGTCTCCAGTTATACCTTTATTTTGGAGAAGCAAGTCAGCCTCTTTTTCCTGAGGAAAGGAAGTAAATCAGGGTTCACATTTTCTAAAGGATACCAGCTAATATAAAGGTTGTGAAAGCTCGAAAACTGAAACAAAAGGAAAGACCTTCAGCATCCTAAAACGGTCACCAAGTGGACAAAGGTCACCAAGCATTTTGCGAGCCAAAAATTCACTTGACCGTGCATGCTTAAAGAATGAATGTTTCAAAAGCTTTGCTGATGTAGGACGCTTCTTTGGATCCTTCACTAAGCAAGCAGCCACTATTTCTTTAAATGACTACAAAGAACGAATCACGATAAGAAGAATAGATATAGATTGCTCTTGCCTTAAACATATTAATCAAATAGCACAGACCTTTGAGAATTTCTTGTCTCTTTCATAGTCAAGACCTGGTGGTGCATTTTGCAATGTCATTAATAGTACCTGAAATCAGAGAGAAAAGAATCACTGAAAGACAGCAATTAAAACAAATTTCCAAGAAAAACACCAATCTGATGTAAGTAGCATAGATGGGCTTGAATAGATAACAAACAGATACAGAACCAGGCAGGATGATGGGTGGCGTAAGACAAACAATTAAATCTATATCCTATGAGGTCTCATTGCACAAAGAAAACACACCTTCATTGGTGGATACTTGGAAAATGGAGCATGACCATGAGCTAGCTCTAGAGCAGTTATGCCAAATGACCAGATGTCTGCTCTGTTGCAGAGAACAAAAGTTAGGATAGGCATTTACAGAATTAACCTTGCTGATTTGAGTAAATACGAAAAAAAGCTGACTTGACCATATGATACAATTTGCAAATACTCAGTCCTTCAGCTTCACCCACTAACTAATTCACAAAAAGAAAAACAAGTAGACACACCCCCACCCAGAAAAGCAGAATCTAGTGCGAACAAACTCACTTGAAGTCATATCCATTTAGTTGCTGCATAACTTCAGGAGCCATCCTGTTCAAACCAGGAAACAATAAATTAAAAGCAAAAAGGCTTTGTTCGCATAGAGAGAGGGAGAGAGAGAAAGATAAAACAACTAAGCTTTAAATCAGAGACAAAGAGAAGATACAACAGATCAGAAAGAGACATGAAAAATTCAATGGTAAGGTGAAGTAAGTACCAGCATGGAGTTCCGGCAAATGTATTTCTTGCACGCAGTCTATCTCCATTATCAAACATGCATGCTGAAACTCCAAAGTCTCCTAATTTAACTGCACCTTTTGAATCAACTAGTATGTTTCCAGCCTGGAAGACAAGTAGAATTACAGAGAGTTGAAAATTCCAGCACAAATGCATTCTAAATAAAATGTGTGAATCAACCAGCACCCAGGTGAACATGCAGCTTCCCGTGATTATTGTTACTACAACAAATAAGAGATAAATTTGTAACAGTATCCTTATTGGATAGTGAAGACATTATTCAGTTACTTCTAAAAGGCAGTTTTCTGTATAGAAAAAGGAATATAGAGTTACAACTTAAAGCAAGTGGTTAGGATAACATATGGCACAATCTTGAAAAGTCCAGTCTGGGCATGGAGAGCTGCCAAAAGGGATTAAGAAACATAAAAATCAAAAGTAATGAACAGACTGAGGCACCTTAACATCTCTATGAATGTTTCCATGGGCATGAAGGTAAACAAGAGCTTTGAGTACTTCCCGCAACAATGTAGCTATAACAGGCTGTTCAAAACCTTCTGGATGAGCAGATCTCATTATGTGAAGACAAGACCCACCAGCCATGTAAGGCATCACAATCCAGAGGCTGCTACCTGCCATGAATGAACAGTGAGCCTTCAGTAAATTTGGATTGTCAATTAAGGTCATCAGCTGAACTTCTCGGCGTATACTTTCCTGCCAAAACCACATCGAAAGGGGAGAAAATGTAAGCATCAATATCGAATACGTGAGCTCCACGGAGAGGTGCTAAACAACCAAAACAAGAATATGGAACAAGAGGTTTATTGACGGGAGTGAGATAAGGCTACCAAGTCGTTTCTGCATCTCTCGAGATCTAAGACCTTGATAGCCACAACTTCGTTGAGCGGAATGCAGAGTGCTCTGTATACGGTGGCACTGACACCTTCACCAACTTCTTCGTACAATTCGTAGTCCTTCGGATCGACTGGAAACCTCTTTGTCGATGAATTCGCCATTGTCTCTCCCTATCTTACCTCATCAATAATCCTCCTTCCTTCAATAAACTGAAACATTCAATATCATCCAACGCAAAACTAAGCCATGGAACACGCATAAATCTAAAATGAGATATCAACCATACGGCTGGGTCCCTTCATGTTACACGGCGCACTGTTTCCAATTTTGAGATATTACAACAAGATTTCATAGTTATTAGGACAGTTGCAACTCGCATTACAACGAAAATTAGAAACAAACATAGCAGATTATTTCTGCAGAAAAGAAATAAAGGCGAACCTAACGAGAGAGAAGAAGGAAGGCGACAACAACGAACAAGAGTCGTCGAGGACCCGATGGGAGGTGGAAGCGTGAGAAAGAGAATCTACAGGTGATAAATCCAATAACGATATGGTGATAAATCCAATAACGAGCCTTGATTACTCCACCATGGATGATGCCCCGATAATCTCTCGTCCTCTCTCTGCTTCGACTCTGTTGTTCTTCTCTCCCCGATACGCTCTTCCAAAAGCTAATCAAATTTTGGTGTATTTTACGTCGTTCCTTGTTTGCAAAAATTCTTTAACAAAAATTTCCGAATTTGATATTTGAATTTCCACGGCCGGAACTTAAGTTATCGGAGATACAATGAATTTTTCAAGCGTTGTTAGGGATCATGCTCGACGTGTCAGTTGATGAGTCTGTGAATACGGACGGAGTCTGGGGCACTTGGCGGGCAAAACTGACGAGCGATGAAACGAAACAATTGGATTCTGTGTTGTATTTATTTACGAGATTGCCACCCGAATAAAAGATCCAAGGCAACCGCTTCCGTTTTTTTAGAGGTCACTGGAATCGGAGTGGTTTTTTTTTTTTACCAAATCAAATTAAAAATCCATAATTTATTTTAATTCTATTTTAATATTAATTTAATTTTCTTGTGTCTCATTTGAGAAAGAGAGAAGACGAAAAAAAATAGGTAGAGGAAATTTAAATCTGGATATAATTATATTAGAAAAATATTAAAATTAAGCTGATATAGAATTTTAAGGGGAACTCATACAATGCATTATTAGTTATGTTTAAGTTTTCATGTAACATCAATTTTTTCTTATTTTACATCTAATTCCATCCTAGTTAAAGTAATTATAGATTCTTAAAAGGCAAATATAATCTTAATATTTTAATACATACTAGAAATAGACTAGACTATACTCATTATGTTTATTCTAAATGTTTAGATAATATTAAGTTTTCTTATTTGATTAATTTATTTAATAATTTTAATATTTAAATTGGAAATGTTAAAAGATTTCAATATATTTTCGACAATTAATCTTTATCAATACTAATATAAATAAAAAAATAAAATTTGAACTGTGAAGTATATGTTGTGCAATTCTTACTATAAATTACATAGCACATTTCTTTTTAGGACTGATTTTGAAAATACGGTTATCATTAGTATTTAAGTATAATTCTGATATATTTTCTATAATTATTTTGCACGACTTATTTTTGCTAAGTGGTATCCTATTAAGTAATGAATGTTTAAATATTTTCGGATTATTTTGATTTTTAGATTACAAAAGAAAAAAAGGAGCAACTAAATGTTTTTCTTCTTTTTTTTTTTTTGGCTTGGTAGAATAGGTAAGGTAATAAATTTTGTGCACACCATATTTCTTAGCATATTGCTCATGGTACCTAAAGAAGCAATTTTATGTTCTTGGGTTCAAGTTTACAGATTGGGTATAGTGAAAGAGAATAAATCATTTTAGTTTCTAAGTAGGACAAGGATACCTAAATTTTGTCATTTATTGAAATGTCTCAATACTCAATTACTTTTATCATGGTATATTTATAGGAACCTTTATATAATTTTGTACAATAATAAAAAGAAAGAGGAAGTATTTTCACAATCTTCGACGTACCTTGATAAAATGTAGATTAAGTGATTTTTGTATTTTTAATGTAATAAATTATCTTGGACAAAATAGAAGGAAATAAATCAACTCTAATGGAGTTATTTAGTAGTTCCTCACCTCATTTTGAGGTTGAAAGTTCAAATATATCATGAACATTTTTATATATATTTAAAAAATATGAGAAAATAAAAGAGTAGCATTTAAAAAAATCGAGGAGAGACGAAAAGGATCATCCTATCATGTGGATATGACACACAATCTCACATTGACTATAGCAATTATGTTTGTTATATGACCCACACGTTCACAAATACCTATTTACGTTTGAATTAAGTTTTAAATAATTATCCATGTGCAAGTTCACTATACATGTTGAACTTCAACTACACACGCACTCTCTCCTCCTCGATTCATGATTAACAAATTAGTGTCTTATTAATTCTTCAGAGTTTTTTTATTCTATAATCTAAAAAAATATCTATTAAAATATAATAAATAAATACACAACAAAACATCAAAAAAAATTATCTTAATCTTTTTTATTATATTTTACTTTATTCCTATAAACTATTTATGAAATCTTATACTTAATTCAAATCATTATTTCCTTATTATTCACATTCTTTCTTTGTAATATTTTTCTTCTTGATTACGATATAAACAATATTTTGTGATGAAACTTTATATATGATATTTTAAGTGTATTATGATATTTCAAATATAAATGTAATATTTGATTGGTAAAATTATTTTCTTAATTTAAGAGTTTATATTTTACTACACCATGGATCAAACCATTCTTTAATTAAAATTTTTTTATAACACCCCACTCACCACCGCATTAAATTTGTATTTGCAAATCCCTATTTATTCGAGCTTTAAGTCACCTAAACTCATTTAAATTTATCTTGTAGTTTATATTATATTTCATAATTTTAATTTATTCAATTTTATTATTTTATTTTATTTATTATATATATTATATTTTATTTTATCTATTTTATCAAAATAATAATAATTTCAGGAGAAAAATGAAAAAATAAGGCGAAATCCTGCGGGAAAACGCCCATAAGAAAGGCTCACCCACGCGAGCACCGCACGTTGTGTGTGTGCGTGCGTGCACAACCAACGAAAGACGTGCGCACTGTACGCATGTTCCATCCGTGTGGGGTGCAGGGCCGATCTGCACGCGCATTCCATCGTGCATAGACAGGACAGTCCGCGCACACGTCACATCGCGCGTGGATAGGGTCAGGCATCGTGCGACCTATGCGTGCGCCGTCCATGCAATAAGCCTGCGCGAATAGGCCTACGTGCATGGGCCTGCGCTCTATAGGCCCTACGAACGGTAGAATAGGCCAACGAGTGCAAGCTAGGATTGCAGTGCTCGACCGGCCAAGTGAGGTGCACTGCTACCTCGAGTAGTGTACTGCCGCCCCTTGGGCGTCGTGCACCACTTTGGGGGGTGTGCTGTTGCCACTGGCTAAGGATTCTTTCTCCATTTTTTGTGTCATCGTTGTGTCGCATCAAATCACTCATCTTCCACTCAACTTTTTCTTTCCTCATCGAATTTCCTCACTTGGCCCAAATCCAACAGTTCCTATTTTCTATAAATAGGGACTCATTTTTTCTATTTTCCTCATCACTTCTATTTCATTCTTCTATCCTCTAAGAGCTTAAAGAGAGAGGGAGTGATCTAAAGAGAGAAAGAGAGGAGATGAAGAAGAAATATATAAGAAAACTTCAAGGTTTTAGTAAGAAATTTACTATTTTCTTAAACATCTTAAAGAGTATTCTAAAAAATAAAAAATTATGGAGTTTATGTAAAGATCCGGAACCTAGATAAAAAAATTCATAATTTAAATACGGAAGCATATAATAACGTCAGGATTTACATTCCTTACACATAAATTAGCGTACCCAATAGGGATACAGAAATATCTATTTTACAGAAGTTCATAAAAAAAAACGTAGTAACGTATGAAAATAGTAAATAAATGTTGTAGGGAGGTTAACCTCCACTACCTCTTGATAAGATCCGGGGGGACACCTACTCACAGCCCTCCTACTAATCAGGATCTGGATTTTGATCTTCTTGATCAGAAATGGTTAATAAGGGAGAAGGTGAGTTACACTAGTCCAATAAAAATATCACACTACTCACCAATACATAAACAATCATAAAAATAACTAATAGAGCTCTTAATTTAAGTAAATTCATTTACCATAAGAAAAATCATTTATTGCATACTTATCGTTGTAAGATTTTTAAAATCGACCTATAGAGACGATACTCTAATAATATTATGATCTCATATTCAAGTGAGTAAGAACAACATGTTTCTCTTTTTATCTACTTACTGGTATTCTTAGGGGTTCGTAAGGATATCCCACTATGCGTGAACATAATATCTAAACTTGTCAATTAACTAGCTGTGCCCATACTCCATCCGATATGAGCGCCAAAAATATCATCTATCGATACCCCGTCCGGTATGAGGGGGAATTGGGCCGTTCTCATACCTTATCCTGTATGAGCGCCAAAAATACCATTTCTCGATATCTCATCCGGTATGAGGTAACGTTCACGGTAGGATTATCTATGTACCCGTTCCGTCCACCATCACCCAGGATATCCAGTAAGACAAACATTTATTAATTCACATAATCAAATAATTTTTCATTTGCATATTAATTTCATATTTCACAAATCAACCGTAAATCACGCAAGACAAACTATATATGCATCAAGGAAGCACAACTGAATTATTGAATCATTCCAATATATTATCATGTATTTCAAATTGTAAAATAAGTACTCAGTTAACGAGACAAATAAATAACTAACCAGTTCTACCTCCATTAGTGACCTGTAATTATTCTTAAAATTTTTTAAATTTCAGAAAATACCATATTATTGATTATTAAACTTCTATTCCATAACAGGGTATAGGGTGAGAGATTCTTACCCAAATCAGTGTTCAAAATACCGAACTTTTTACTGCATCTACTGGCAGTTTCTGAATTTTTTAAATTTTTTTGCGGAGATTAAACACGTTTTACGTACTTAAAAATACCCCAAAAATCCAAAATCGGTGTTAAAAATCTTTTCTGGCAAATTTTAAGATTCCAGCACGGCGATGCGATGGCACCACCGCCTGCGGTGGCGATTTGCTTCAGCCTAGCCGTTTTCGGTTAGTTTTGACCAGTTTCGACCGACTTTATATATATCCCTGTGAAAAAATACGTTAGGGGGCTTCAGTTGACCAAAAAAATTAGAAAATAAAAACTTACCAGTGGTAAAATTTTCGGGTGCGGTGGCTCTGCCGGCTCACCTTCGTAGCTGGGATTTTTTTTTTCAGTAAACTTGTAAAAAACAGAACGGTAGAAACATCACACGAAAGAAAAACGGGAAAGGACTCATCAGAGGAGGTTGCAGGTTTTGCCCACGGCGATTCTGCCGGACTTTGCCTGCGGTTTCTAGCTCACCCGCCGTTCGTTTTGCTCCGATATGGCCACAAGGGTGCTCGAAATCAAATTCTGAGTGGGTAGGAGAATTTTTACTTTTTTTGGCAGTCGGAGGTAGTTTCAGTAAGGCGGCGGTTGGCGGTCGGCTCCTTTCTCTAGCGTTTGGTTCTTTCTCTCAAACGGGGGGCTGGCAACTAGGGTTCAGGTTTAGTGTGATACAAAATATTTATACTCATCTCGCACTAATATGGGTTATTCATCACATTTGATCTCGACCGTTCGATCGCACCTAAGGAAGAAATAAATCTGAATCGTTCATTGCGTTTGATCTCAACTGTCCGATTGT